TGCTTTGGAGGATCTGATCCAATCTTGAAGGGCTATGCAGATGCTGATATGGCAGGTGACATTGATAACAGAAAATCCACTACTGGATATTTGTTTACATTTTCAGGGGGAGTCTATATCATGGCAGTCGAGGTTGCAGAAGTGTGTCGCACTCTCTACAACTGAAGCGGAGTATATTGCCGCTACTGAAGCTGGCAAGAAGATGATATGGTTGAAACGGTTCCTTCAAGAGCTTGGATTGCATTAGAAGGAGTATGTCGTCTATTGTGATAATCAAAGTGCAATAGATCTTAACAAGAACTCCATGTACCATGCAAGGACCAAACACATCGACGTGAGATATCACTGGATTCCAGAAATGGTAGAGAATGAATCTCTAAAAATCTTGAAGATTACTACAAGTGAGAATCCTGTAGATATACTGACCAAGATGGTACCAAAAGACAAGTTCGAATTGTGCAAAGAACTTGTCGGCATGCACTCAAGCTAGAAGTCCGGTGTTACCTCCTTCAGGTGAATGGGTATGGAAGGGGAGATTTGTGGGGTCCATCACCATAAATGAAAGGGAAGAAAAAATGTCAAATATAGTAGGCTATGGGATTTGCAAATCTGCAGAAGGAAAATGTCAAATATAGTAGGCGTGAGAGAGTGAGGCTCCGCCTATAAAAGGAGAGTTTCGGCTCTCATTTCTACACACCAACAAAGAGAGAAAGAAAAAGCGAAGCATCACAGACAGGGTATAGGAAAATAATATGTGAGAAAAATAGAGAGTTAGCGATATTGTAGTGAGGTGGGAATATCAAAAGAGGGTTATTTCTTTTGAGTGTTATAGTGGTCTTTGGAGTATTTTACTCGGACCTACAAAGTGTAAAATTCCGTGCTATAGTGATATCAGTTGCTCGTCTCGGGGCCGTGATTTTTTCCCTTATTCAAAAGGGTTTTCCACGTAAAAAATTTGGTATCGTTGTCACTCTTTTATTCTTGTTAATTACCGTATCTCGGTACTACGCTATTATTCCGCTTCTATTACTGTGAATATTATTTCTATTGGGGTTTATTCCAACAAGATCAACCGGTCCTTTGTTTGCCAATGAAATAATCCGGTGTGCACTAAATTCCGTGCATATTCAATCTTCATCACTTTTAATCAATCAAGAAATGTTCCCACGTGTATGTAGCACATTACTGCAGTAACGGAAAACACATACGCAACAATTAGTTAGATAAGGAGAGATGGTAAACAAGGGGCAGGAAATCACATCACAAATGATAAAGACAACAGCTAGAGAGTAGACCATTACCAAACAAACACCATAACATAAAGACACAAGAAAGTTTCACATTCAGATGAGTATTCATTTCCTACATAGAAACAAAGACGTCCATATAAATGTTTAATATTGAGAGGAAATTTATATTATTGGTCTAAGCAAGATTCCATTTAATTAAAACAAATATTTAAAATGAAAATTTGTAGGCTGAGCGAGAAAGGGAGAGAATGATTTTGCCCTAACAGAACAAACAAAGCCTACAATTCCTGGCCGTCCATGTTTTAAGTTCACGTTTCGTATACAGCTATACACTAACCATTGAGCACATATAATGCGTTTAATGCTCGCAGAGATAATTCTGTCTTCAAATTCATTCCATTCGAGATGCAAAATGCTCGTTCAGTTCACTTTTACTTGACATGTATACTAAAAATAGATTTTTATTTTTATTTGTCACTTTACACATATCATGAGAAGACAATTTTTTTTCCTGTTATACCCACAATATTTATTACTCATTTCAAATCATTTTCTCAAATTCAATAAAAGGGACGTGAAAAGTCAAAACGTGGCAAGTAAAAATGAACGGAGGGAGTAAAAGTTATACCTACCAAGATATTAATGAAACCTAATTTCATGCAGTTATAACCTAGTGATCACCGCAAGTAAATGCTTATCTCGTTAATGAATTATCCAAGCAGCAGGAACTCAACAATGACCTAACAAAGTCTGCAAAACCTATCCATTAGTGAAACTTACAGAACAGAGGGAACTCAACAATGACTTACAAACTCCATAAAACCAACCCATTAATCGATTATCTGAAATAGAAGGAACTCAACAATGACTTACAAAGTTTATAAAACCTATTCATCGAGTATCACAAATTTAAATAGAACAATAATGAGTATCTAATACTAGGAATAACATTGCTACTACCCAATACGATTACCAAATTACCAATTCCCCGCAAAGCACGAACAAATCGTTATAGCAGGTCGAAAATACAGATGCTACTAAGTAATACGTTAGTTAAGCTATTGATATAGATCCGCTTCCTGATTTTGAAGTTGTAAGCGCCACCATGAGCAAACAACAACCTAAATCATAATTCCGTACTGCATTCAAAAAACAAACTTATTTTACCTGATTGTGAATCTCAGAGCTAGGATTAGATTCAACTAGCCTAGAATCTTCAACTTTATTTTGCCATGATCACATACATACATATTTATGCGCCTTGCGTTTCTAAATCTAATAGTTACTTGAGCCTCATGTAGACAACTCTATATATTTTCAAATAACCAATGAACACAGATGCATTTAATTTCAAAAAGAATGATAATCTAATAAGAATTTTTCAAGCACAGAGAAAGAAAGAAGGGGAAGGAATTACCTCTTCGGCACAACTAACTTAAGCAAAAGAAGCACCCAAAAAAAGAAATCCGGTAAGATAGGAAAGGTTGTATCTGCCGAAAGTCCAATAGTAAATTTGAAGTTTTTCCATCAACAAATAGGTAGGAAATGCCCAAAGATGAAAAGACCGATTAGGAGCTTGTGTGTGATTCTAACTCAGAGAGTAACAATAGGAAAGAGTTTAATGGTGATGCATCGCCAGATTCACGGACAAACTTGAATATGCCGCTTGACTTTGAAATGAAAACATATCTGCAGGCTGACAATTCTCATGCAGCATGACATGTTAAGACCTGTTACTGAGAATAACGTATGACAGGAATGTGGAAGTAGTTTTATCTATCAAGCCTGGCAATCAAAATGTTAAATACGTACCAAAGCAGAAACTAAATAGAAATTCCAGGTACTGTCAATGTTCTTTGCTGGCTAGCTTGCTTCCCACTGAGTTTTGAGATGTGATGTCGATATTCTCATCAACATTTATCTTTGGGTTACAAATGGACAGTGATGAGGTGAAAATCCAACTAAATTACTTGTCCATTATGTAGGAGATGCGTGTGTGTATCAACAATTAGTTCATGTAAACACGAAACATGTAATCTTATATAGAGAGCACCAATTACAGCAAAGTGCCAAAGTTGCCACAACTCCTTACCACTCTAGTATCAGCGAGCCATTTGATGAAACTTTGTATAGCTAGTAGATATATGATCATTTTTTACAGTAAGTATCTATTGTCAGAGTATAATAATTGTATCCCTTTACATTTATTCAGTCGTCCACTTGGTTGTCACTTTTATTAAGTAATGTGCTAGAGGATCAGTTGTCAGAACAACTCAATTTCCTGTTGAAGTTACTTGGTTTCCTCTCAAGTGGGCCAAAGATGGAATCTAAACAGACTTGGATTGAGCAATTGCAGCAGCAATGAATGATTTCAGCCAACGGGAGAGGTTGATCAAGAAAGGTGTGTAGACAAAATAGCAAGTGATTGTCCAAGTGACTAACCCCTGCAAACAGTTAAAAGGTCCGATTATATAAGATTTGAAAATAGCTAGCTTCCAGTTTTAAGGTGTCAGGAGGAATGTGAAATAGGTGTAAGGATTTGCTTGCTGATGCCACTTCAGTTACCTGTCCAAAGATCTGGACGTTTGCTTGAGGATAATACCACAAATTAAACCATCTGAAAATTATCCTCAAGTCAGTGCTCCAAAAAATATTTGGTACACACAGAGAAATAATAGTTCAATGTAAAAGCAGCGACAGCAATAAAGAGATTTCATACTCCATTGCAGGGATCTCAGCCAGTGGGCAGGCAAGACCTACAAAACAGGCTAATGCAAACCCCAGTCTTGTTCTATCCAGCAAAAACCATATGAGTTCCGCTCCTGCAAACAAGACATAGGCTTCAACGTTGTCTGGCACTCCGGCCTTGTACATTTCAGAGCTCAACTCAGTGAAAATCACCACTGCACTGAGTAACATTGGAAACATTTAGTATTAAAATAGAAAGTTACATACTCCTAGACTGGCAAAATGGTTAAAAAAACAATTATCCATCCAACCCAACCCAATTTCTAATGGGTTGGATAACTAACCATTTAGAACTGGGTCGAATATGGATATTGATAATCCATATTATCCATTAAATGGATATCCATTGGATAAAATATGGATAATACAGTTTTACCCTTTAAAGGTTTCAAACACATTCGGAATTCTCTCGCTACTGAGTTCCACCACTTTAATAGAAAGCCCTAATGCCCAATTCCTTAAATCTCTCCCCTTCTTCCCCAATGAAGCATTACTTCCGACAAACTCTCTTCTCTCTCTTTCTTATTTGCTTTAACTGTAGAATTACCACCTGAGTTCTATTCCTTTTCAAGTGGTTCCACTCCCTGGTTAAGTTACTAATATCTGAACATAGTTGTTTGTTTTGCCGCCTGAGCCTCTAGATATATACCCCCTCCTATTTCTGCGATTACTTTAAGCAAATTTATAAGGATAGTTTAATTCTTTAGGTTCATTTCTAGCTTGCAGTATATATCCAGATGTATGAGCAAACTGATTATCTACTGTATTTAGATGTATGAGTAAACTGATTAGTTGATTAGAGTTGTAGTTTGTGAGAGAGTCTCATGAACATTGGTTCTTGATGTGGGTTTATTTGGTGCTGTTACATTTTGATGTTTGTTTCGAAATTGAGTTTCCAAGTTCCGGTGTAAAGAGATCTACGAGGTTGGACACTCTGATTATTTATTTATATTGAATATTGATGCATGACGTTTATGTACTTTTATCTCCTAAATGATGGGTATCTGTTGTCTCGAGTTGCTTTAATCGATTACATTTTAGACTTGATCACTGTTGACACTTGTTATTCAGATTTCTAGAGTTGGCTATGGCACAAAAATTGGGCAAGTTGTCTGGGTATTCAACTAACACTATGGATAATATGGCTCAGTGACCATATCAAATACGGGCGGGTCAGATATTTTATTCATTTTTACCTAACTTGTTCTCGACCTGTCAATATCCGGCCCGATCCGAGGGTTTGCCACCCCCTACTCGTAGTACATAAAGAATATGCTTCACATGAATTCTATTAATGCGAGCTTAAGATCATTACATGACACGAGGGAGGCAACAGTTCTGATCTCTAGGCTACCCTCTGGAGGCTGCTGAGAGGAGACGTGGTCAAGCAGCAGTTGCAGCAGACCCACAGAGCAGTAAAACAAGCCAAGCAAAGGCGGAACCTGATCTTACACAAGTTCCCCAAATTAATTAAGACCAGAAAAACGTACTTCTATGGAATTGAAGGCAGCTTACCCATATATTTGTGTGAAGAGAAGCCACATCAATAGCTCCATTTTGGTACACCACTAGATTGACTCCGGAGTGTATTCCATCAATAAGGGGACCCAAGAAGAAGCCTGTCCCGAAGAGCGAGAGTGCCACTAATGACCAATTGAGATGACTCGGGGCTGTACTTGCACTATTCCTACTATCTACTTCACTCTGCTTTCTGGCGCCGCAGCGTTTTAGTCGCGTTTGCACTGGCTTCTTCAAGGTGGGAAGGGGACAGGGACGGGGGATGGGACTGGAACTAGGTTTGCGTCTGTAACTATAATAGGAAGAGTACCTGAGAAAACAAGGGGGAGAGCCAAAAGCCAGAGAAATCAGCATTTTTGGAACACTTAATTGTTCATACGAATATGATGATTTTCTTGTTTTCTTTCGACCTGGCCTGTCTTTATCTGTGGGAAAATAACACTTTAAATCCGCTTTAAGACGGTAGCTCTTTTCTACCTGATCCAGAGTCTGCGGACGATATATTTTCTCCACTGCCCCTCGCCAGTCTTCAATTGCCACCGTCCAACCTTACAACTAGGTCATGGTCTCTGTTAGCCTTTCATGTTATCATATGTTTGGGCGAAAGTTTTTGAAAACTGCTTTTAACTATATTTTTCTTAAAAGTGCTTCTTAAAAAAATATTTTTGAAAAAAAAGTTATTTTTTTCTGCTTCTCAAAAAATTACTTCTGCTCCTCCTCAAAAGCGTTTTTTTTCCTTCCAACAGGCAGGCTATTACTCCGCTTTACTATTCATTTATCAAATCTACATCTTAATTTTCGCTCTAAGTATGCTGTTAAACACGGGGTTTAAAATGTTGGTTTACCGAAGAAATTAGTATTTTTTTGTTCCTAAAGAATTCCTTTATTTCAATTTTAATTCTTGTAATATTATTAGACCGAATAAATTTGACTTTCAAATAAACGGATTAGGTGGTTTTTGGTCCAATCATTAACGGCATCCGAAGATGAATACCGGCAGTTTAATCTAAGGAGGACAATTCCACCAACTGATCATATTGAGTTTTACCAAATCTTCGGTGGGATCATATTGTAATCCGAATTTTGGTTCATTTGAACCCGGTGGTTTTTCATGTAACAATTCAAAGGCAAATCTTTAGAAGTTCATGAAAACTTGGTACGATATAATTTACCTATTGAGTCGTATAAGTGCACCCAAATAACATGAACCATTACTTAATGAAAATAGGCTGAATTAGCCGGAACATTTGACCAACTGTCCATAAATTTACATCACATATTTCACATTCCCATAAATACTCATGTCTTTAACACTTCTCTCAACCATGTACATTTATCTATTGACGAATTCTTTAAGAGCCAAGCATCTAACTCGTTAGAAAGCGGTCGCACTTCACATTAATATTGGTAGACTTTATTCCACGATCCACATAATTATTTAGCACTTTAACATAATACGATCCACACTGGAGGTCTTTCAAAGCTTCTAAATTCTGTATAAAAATCTTGTGTCTCGTCACTCCAATGTATATTGTTGGGAAATCTGAAAACTAAATGTGAGTTAAGATATGATAGAGGATATCCTTCAATGGACAGAATTTTTGCCATGAAATTAGCTCTCTTAAAGATACACTTGAGAAAGAGTGGAGCTAAAATCGATTTAAGTTGAAATAATTGGTACAAATCATGTATAGAACTTGAGGACAAAAGACCAAGGTTAATTATCAAGTCAGTCATGTGGGAGAAACATCCAACTGGTTGGTTGAAAGTTAACACAAATAGAAGCACTATGTCACAGGCTCAAATCCTTACATTGGGTAGCGGCATCTGCTCGCCCGTGCGGCGCCTACTTCGCTGCAGGCCAGCCTGTTTCCTTTCCCAGAATTTCAAGCACGATCCTGTGCCTGTTGGTGGGGCTCGCCCCAACTTGTGCCACCCGTAAGATGTCTAGGCCTTTGGCCCTAGACATGTCGTGACGCTTCATCTTAGGATCACTATCCATGCGCGCCCTCGGGGATATTGGCTTAGGACATGTCTTGTCCTTAGCCCAAGACTGAGCATCGCTCCCGCGTGCACAACCCAATCCTCAAGCTTGACACTCGCCTAGTGCATCCGCAACTAGCTCGCACCTCGCCCGAGTAAGGCAACCTTTAGCCCTTGGCCATTGTCATGCGCGTCTTTCGTGCCATGCCCATACATTGCCCTCGCGACACGCTTCCATCCCGAATAGTGCAGTGTCGCCCCACAACTGAACCTTTAGGCCAACGGACCCTTGCTTATATGGTTGAACCCAAGCCATGCTCACAAGTCGACACATGATGCCCCTATGACAGGTGCGTCAAGTATCCAATCGGCACAGAGGTTTCCTTCCAATATTCGGCAGCCCGCAGGGCTGGCCGTCCCACATATCGAGCCTCCAACGCCTACTTGATGCCCAACGCTAGCCCGAAGGCGTTGCGCCGTCCATAGAGTTTTCCTAAATCGTATGGATACCTTTGACACTCCTTTGAGTCATCTAGGCAGACCCTTGAGGTTGCCCCAAGGTAGCTCGTTCTATACGGCTTGGTGGCAGCACGTATGGGGGAGGCAGGTCGGAGCTTTCATCACCTATACCCCCCTTATATATGCTTAAAATTAAAAAGCCCAAGTTGCCCGAGTAGACAGTTCTACGTCAGACAATCAGAAGAACCTTTTCTCACAAGTTCTTGACCGAAATCATAACTCCAAAGTGCGAGTTGTGACATCCTCCCACACTCATAATGTCATCGTCCCCGATGACACATCATGGCCTACGACATCCCGGAGTCTGCCCCCTCAGGTATGCCCATGTCGGCTCCCTTCGTCCTGTGGGTTGGACTTCCTCGAAGTCCTTTCTCAAAAGGAGTCGTGCCCCATGCACTTCTCCCCCAAGTATCTTCCAAGCGTGCCTCTGCACTTCACCTCCGTTCGGTGTTCACTTGGAAAGTGCCTCCGCACTTGCACCCTTTGGTGTCTCACTTTGTGATTGGCCCACACTAGTCAATCACACCATGACCCTCACGGCCTTCATGTCCGTCTGAAGCTTTCCTTCATAGGTTAGCACGTCAATGTGCTCTTTGGTGCGGCTCTAGTAGATCAATCGCTCACATAGCCTTCAAACGCCTCTAGCATAGATCCCGTAGCCTTTCGCTCCCGTAGCTTTTTCTTGCCTTCACTATCTTGAAGATATGTTGGCTTCCGGACTCACTGCTTCGCCCATATGCCTCTTGCATAGGTGGGATCCTCCCACACTCAATGTGGAGGATACATCTTAGCACTGTCATCCCACTTGGCATTCGGCCAGCTCTTGGGACGACCTTTGGTGAGTACTAGATTCCCAAAGTCATAGCATCGCCGCATTCCCGAACAAAGCTCGTTGTTTTCCAACTGTCACCTCCTCAGCAAGTAGCCAATGCTCCCGGTAGTACTTCAATACTCGCCCTATAGACAGGTACCCTCTTGGTCCTACTAGCACGGCTTTCCGGTTCGGTGTGCCTCGTACCTGGACTCTCAACGGTCCCCGATCATTCGACGTACTTCTTTCTAGAATGACACCTTCTAACTTGGAAATTCGCCCAATTCTGAAGCTTCACTATACCCTCGAATCCGTCTCCTCACCTTGGCAATGCCCTCAGGCAGCTCATAACTCTATCCCGAAGGAAAGACACTCAACTGATACGTTGCACGCATCCTTGGCAAGATCTCCGCTATGATCATGCCCAAGTTTATAGTCCATGGCTCCCACTCTTCGCAATATGGTTGCACGACCTGGTAAACATGGCTTTCTCTTGACCATCCGACTCATCGGCATATCATCTCATTTAGTAGCACCTTAGACTCTCGAAAGACAATGGAATCACCCATTTCTTTCTTCGACCATCATTATCGGGTTCTCGATCTCTGGTGGAATATGAACATCAATCTTTGATTTGACGTGATCTCTGCACTGACATCCAAAATGCACTCGCCATATCCACCCTTTGCCTTGACATTGTGCCATGGAATAGTATGGCCCTAATCAGTTTTGATACCAAGTGTCACTGGCCCAAATCCTTACATTGGGTAGCGACACCTGTCCCCGATCATTTGACGTACTTCTTTCCAGAATGGCACCTTCTAACTTGGAAATTCGCCCAATTCCGAAGCTTCGCTATACCCTCGAATTCGTCTCCTCACCTTGGCAATGCCCTCAGGCAGGTCACAAGTCTATCCCGAAGGAAAGACACTCAACTGATGCGTTGTACGCATCATTGGAAAGATCTCCGCTATGATCATGCCCAAGTTTATAGTCCATGGCTTCCACTCTTCGCAATATGGTTGCACGACCTGGCAAACATGGCTTTCTCTTGACAATCTGACTCATCGGCATATCATCTCATTCAGTAGCACCTTAGACTCTCGAAAGACAATGGAATCACCCATTTCTTTCTTTGACCATCAGTATCGGGTTCTCGATCTCTGGTGGCATATGAACATCAATCTTTGCTTTGACGTGATCTATGCACTGACATCCAAAATGCACTCGCCATATCCACCCTTTGCCTTGACATTGTGCCATGGCATAGTATGGCCTTAATCAGCTCTGATACCAAGTGTCACGGGCCCAAATCCTTACATTGGGTAGCGGCACCTGCTCGCCCGTGCGGTGCCTGCAGTTCCCCTTCGCTGCAGGTCAGCCTGTTTCCTTTCCCAGGATTCCAAGCACGATCCTGTGCCTGTTGGTGGGGCTCGCCCCAACTTGTTCCGCCCGTAAGATGTCAAGGCCTTTGGCCCTAGACATGTCGTGGCGCTTCATCTTAGGATCACTATCCATGCGCGCCCTGGGGATATTGGCTTAGGGCATGTCTTGTCCCTAGCCCAAGACTGAGCATCGCTCCCGCATGCAGAGCCCAATCCTCAAGCTTGACACTCGCCTAATGCATCCACAACTAGCTCGCGCCTCGCCCGAGTAAGGCAACCTTTAGCCCTTGGCCATTGTCATGCGTGTCTTTTGTGCCATGCCCATACATTGCCCTCGCGATACGCTTCCATCCCGAATAGTGCAGTGTCGCCCTACAACTGCACCTTTAGGCCAACGGACCCTTGCTTACATGGTTGAACCCAAGCCATGCTCACAAGTCGACACATGATGCCCTTATGACAGGTGCGCCAAGTATCCAATTGGCACGAAGGTCTCCTTCCAACATTCGGTAGCCCGCGGGGCTGGCCGTCCCACACATCGAGCCTCCAGTGCCTACTTGATGCCCAACGCTAGCCTGAAGGTGTTGCGCCGTCCATAGAGTTTTCCTAACTTGTATAGATACCTTTGACACTCCTTTGAGTCATCTAGGCAGGCCTTTGAGGTTGCCCCCAAGGTAGTTCGTTCTATACGGCTTGGTGGCAGCACGTATGGGGGAGACAAGTCGGAGCTTTCATCACCTATACCCCTCATATATGCTTAAAATTAAAAAGCCCAAGTTGCCCGAGTAGATAGTTCTACGTCAGACAATCATAAGAGCATTTTCTCACCAGTTCTTGGCCGAAATCACAAGTCCAATGTGCGAGTTGTGACAACTAGCTCTTTTAACCATTATGTTGGTATTGTGGCACTGTGAGGAACAGAAATTGGAAGTTAATAATGACCTTTGCCAAAAAACTCCATTTTTGCACTAACGATTATGCTGAGGTACAAGCAGATCTTTCTGTGCGTGCTTCAACTGGTGCAATCAATAAGGCTGCTGCAATAAAATTGGACACTTTATTAGTTGTAAATATGCTAACTGATAAATACATGGTCCCTTGGGTACTTCATCACTATGCGGAGGAGATCAAAGCAGGTTTTCTTAACCTTCAGGTAAAGATACAAAATCGCTTGCAAGACAAACTCTGTGGCAAATGTTCTAGCCGAAGCCGGCAGCAACCTGCAGGACATCTCCAACAGACCAACACCTCATCTCAGCTCATGGTCTTATTGAACTACCTAGCGAAGCCAGAGGTTTCTCAAGAATGGATCAAATCTAAATGCTTAATTTCAGGATTAGAAAACAACAACAAAAGAAAAGGTGGAACTTCGTTTTAATGTTTTTGTTCACTCATAAGTCATAACAGGGAGGTGTCCTCCCAATATTTTTGGGAGTTTAGCTGTGTACTCCTAATATTTTATATACTAGGTTCAAATGTAACTAAAACTACAAAACCAAAGGCGACTTCACCACTTGTAATTTTTTGGCATAGCCTGTAGCGTACTGTATAAAGTTAGGGAAGCGTAAATTAATTGATGTAGATGGAGAGGTTAGGCACTAGATTTCCTTCTCCTCCATGTCTTCAATTTTTGATTGCTAAAATACAGGTAGGATCAGCCTAAATCCCCCATGATGGTGAAATTGCAATATTAAAGCTAAGAACACACATTCCTTTTCAAACATAGTGGTTACCAAATATTCCTAGTAATTACCAGTTCCACCTTGGGAATGGAAATAATTAAGAAATTTTGCAGTGCACGCAATCACTGATATTGATGTATTCTCATTTCATTGAACTCAATATACGACCTAGAAAATAAGGCAGAATATGAGGACCGTCCTTAAGAAATTTAAGTCTTTCACTTTAGTTATTGCAGGAATTATGGTAGAATTCCTTCAAGATTCTATAAAGCCTATGAAACTTCACTACTAGCAATTAAATCGAATTTCTAGTAGAACAAACTTTCTTAATGGTAGATAGCAGCAAGAGAAAATAATGAAAATTTGTGCTTTCTGTCTTGTTATTTGTTTTGGAGAGACAATATGCATTTATAAACCTCTCTAGGTGTCAGACTCAACAGTTGCCAACATACCCCTTTTAAAATCAATAATTACCTTTTTCAATTTAAATAAAACTGTTAAAAACGTTTTAATAATTAAAAAACATTTTTAATTAAATAGTAAAAATAATAGGCAATTGAGAATATTAATTTTGGACCACTTAATTTGCCAAGGCCCAAGTGCCCCAAGTGCTCATGTGTCCAATTTTGACTATTAATGTTGTAACCATATTCCAGTTTCCCTAAACACTTATTGATCCTTTCTCTATTTTTCCAACGAGGGACAAGTTTTCTCCTCTTAAAGTTGACACATCAATACTAACTAATCTAACAACAACAATAACAACTAATATACCTAGTGAAATTTCATAAGTGAGGTCTGGGAGAGTAGTATGTACGCAAACTTTACCCCTACATTGTGAATGTAGAGAGACTATTTTCGATAGACCCTCGGATCAAGAAAAACGTAATTCTAACAGTCATAAAAATATACGATAGTGGAGAAACGATGAAAACTGAAACAGTAGCAACATCAAGAAAAATAAAATAATCGAAGTAAAAATAATAGGCAGTAGTAGAAATCTAAGAATAAGAAAATAAGGGAGTAATTATAATAATACTGTTGGTATGGAGAGGAAAAAAAGTGCGACTACCTACTAACCAACTACCTTATTCCTCGACCTCCAGAACCTCCTATCAAGGGTCATGTCCTATGAAGATGTGACATGTCATGTCTAATCACCTCTCCCCAATACTTTGTTTGCCTACATACCTCTCATTAATCCCACCATTGCCAAACTTTTACACCTACTCATTGGGGCATATGTGCATCTACTCTTCACATGCCCGAACCACCTCAACTTTGCTTTTCGCATCTTGTCCACTAGAGAAGCCATTCTCACCTTGTCCTGAATATCCTCATTCCTAATCATATCTCTCCTAGTATGTCCATACATCAATGTCAGCATTCTCATTTTCGCTACTTTCATCTTCTGGACATAAGAGTTCTTGATGGGCCAGCACTCCGACCTATACAACATAGTCGATCGGTCGAACCACCACTCTGTAGAACTTACCTTTAAGTCTTGGTGGCACATTCTTATCGTACAAGACAGCGGATGCGAGTCTCCATTTCATTCATCTAATATGATGTGTGATATCATCGTCAATCTCCCTAGTACCTTGGATTAATATAGACCCAAGATACTTGAAACAAACTCAATATATGCCATTATATCAATTAAGTGGTTAATTTTCATATTCCTTCATTAATGATATATAATAATGTTTACAGGCGTCAGCTCGATCCCTTTTGAAATCTTAAATACTAAGTCTCTCATAAGAGCTTACTCCTTGGGTCAGCCAAGTTTCATGTTGAGATCGCAAAGAGTAGCATTTAAGATTTATCCAAATGTTCCCAAGATAAGCAATTCAAGTCAATATATATTTTTGGAATTATCTAGTTATTTTAGCTCCAGCTACAACCTATTAAAGTACAAAAATCAAATCTTAGGTTGTCCCACATCGTTCTCTCCTGCCTAGGTCGATCACACTGTATTTGGATTATTAATTATCAAGGTCTGCCTTCTAATAGAATTTTCGATGAAATTATTCCAGTAAAACATAATATTTTTCGTATTCATCTCATTGATTTCCTTCACTTTCTCTTTGATTATTGTTTCTAGAACTATAATGGTAGTTAGATAGGTATGTAAAGTATAAGTACGTACGTGTAATGCTTAATTTAAAAAAAGATTCATAGGAAAAGCACGACTAGGACGGAATGGAAGGTCTACGACATGACAGTCCTAGAGATATAGCGAAACAATAATTACTTCCCATTAATGGATTTTTCATGCATTATATATATTCAAAACGAAACCTTAATATTCTCCATCTAAACGAATCATGTTCCCCGTCACATAACATGTAAGCAAATGGCAACTTATGGTAGGATTTAGCACATAAAGATGGACAACCTATGATATATAGGAGTAACTTATGGTACATGTTTTATCTTCCTCCGAGGCCAAGGTAAAAAGGTGCACCAGTATGCCTCAACCACAGATCTCCGTTAATCCAGGGGCCAGCTGTGTATTGAGCTGCTTCTTCTGGGCTAATAAGACGGAAGTTCTTGAAACTTCTGTTCCTGTTATTGATGAGAGCACCAGGTCCGCGGTTGGCGAACTCATAGTAATAACATGTCTGCTCGAACGCTTCGCCTTGCCATGTCATCCAACCTTCTGGGCGGATGAAATCACCCAATTCACTCTCCATGAATACTGTGGTTGAGTAGGCCTTCCAGGGACGACCCAAGTAAGTTGGAAGTTGGAACCTAACTGGAAACAATTCTACTTCTGGGACGACTCTACAATTCTGGAATACCACTCCACCTGGTTTAAGCGCTATTTCTTTGCCATCAGCGGTAATAGTATTGAACTGGCCTGCCAAAGGTTTCCTAGCTATGATCAAACTGTTTTGGATTACCGCTGAGCCCCAGCCAAAGATGAAGTCTATGGTACCAGAGATGACACAGTTCCGATAAAATTGGCGATGGTTTTGATAGTACAAAGTGTCTTGATAACCTTCAATGCTGCAGTCAAAAACAGCAGCCATATCACCGTTAATTCGAAGAGCCACAGCTTGGTGCCCTTCTGGACCAGCAGTGTTTCGGAAGGTAATTCCCCTAGCAACAAACCCATTACCAAGAACAGCTGCCATATGCAAGCAACATCGATATCTAATCAGTGCAACATATATATATATATAGTGTAGTAGTACACAATAAAATGATTAATTATAGTAATGACTAATTCCTGCGTCATGTACTGTTCATGATAAACTAAATAGCACGCTCCATAAATCAAATATATATACATGCTACCTAGCTAGCTAAGCATCCATGCATGCACGGTTGATTTAATATACTTACAGAAAGTAGCAGTGTCTTGGGTGGGTATTTTCATCAGACCAAAGTTTCTATTTCCAGTAATGATGGTTTTCCCTGCTCCATTGCCAAAGATAAAGACGTTTGGTTGCTTTTTAGAGATGATGATATGCTCTTCATAGATGCCAGCTTTGACATAGACTATGTATTTGCCTCTATGGTTTTCGGGATATGCTGCGAGGGCAGCGGCGACGGTATTGTACTGGCCACTCCCATCCTTGGCAACCACTGCATGAGGAGTTACAAACCTATGTCTTGCTAAAAGCTTACGGTCGGCAACTGGGAACCACGTAGGGTAAGAGTCATGACCTATCTCGTTAACTTCAAGGAGGCGACGATTAGATGTGCTACCAGCTGCGCTCTTAAGGTTTGCCGGAATTGAGACGTTGAATGATTGGAGGACGGTTGAAATTTTTGCTACGATGTTGATCGCATTGTGGGTCAGTTGGGTTGCATTCACCATGCCCTTTTCTATAGCGGATTTGTATTCAGGCTTCTCAATAGCATCAACGCACATGCTTTGATAGGAGTACACCGCACCTAGCCAGTTCAATAGTTCGCTGACACGATCATTGAGGGAATGCAATTCGGTATCCCCAACCATAGAGTAGGAGGCCTGGAGTTCCTCGATGGCATACTGCAACAACTCTTTGCAATCCTCTACAGCCATGTGATTGTAAGGATCACTTTCATTGTTGACAGAAGTCTTCTCCACCACCTCGAAAGATTTCTTGACCTCATCCACGGTGATTTGGATGGAGGCCAAAAGGTAGTCTTTCATGGTAGCACTATTGTTCTTAGCCACTGAATCAAGACTCTTTGCACAAGCTTCTTTGAATTCCGCAGGTTTACAGAACTCCTCAACTGATGCCTTCATTTGGACTTTGGTGCTTTGGTCATCATCTTTTGAACCGCCATCTTGGTGCAGGACGATCACCACCCCCAATATCACACCCACCACTAGAATCAAGGATACCAACGACACCACTATTTTCCCCACCATCTTTAATTTCCTTTGTTAATCTTTTCCTTTTCTCAACTTTTTGTCTCCGTTCTGCAGGTGCTGGTAATGCAACTTTGGACGAATGAACTATATATATTGAATTGTATAACTTACAAAATGACTATATATACGACGGGAGACAAGGAGACATGCATGCATGTAAGAAAAAAGTGAAGAGACGACAGAAACAATGGCGGTTAGAGGTTATTCCTCTCTTTGGTTACGTTAGTCGTTTCTTGAAACCTAAGCAGATGGATGAATTAATGACTATTTTATGAGGAGTTTTATATAGGGTTCTGGAGAAAGAGTTCTCCAACAGGGTTGCATGATTGTCACCTTTGCATGGCTAACCGACGATTGGGCAAAGATATTTGTGGTATCATGAATTATTGAATGACTCCTGGCCATCAATTCTATTGAACGGTGAACCGTAAAATAGTTTCGAGCATAGCTAATTAGGAACAGTATTCCTACCAATCATGTAACAACTAACAAAACTAGTGAATTTAATTTCTGCGCGCGGTAGTAAAAAAGAATCAATAAATATAATCTTGTCATTAATTTAGTTCGAGATAAAAAAGAAGATAAACTCTTTATCTCTATACATATAAAAAATCATTATTTATTTATTGTTAAAATCACAAATATAATACTCCTACTACTATCAGTAGTTTTTTTTCTACAATAGGAGCATAAATGAAATGCATTTTTGTTTTCACATTTCTTTTAAGCAAAAAGTGAATTCTCGAATCTTAGTACTTGCATTAGAACTTTAGAAGATAAAAGATGATTTTATTTGGTCGCAAAATACCCAGATCGGCAATACTTTCTTTGAAAACATTATAATTCATGCAAGGGTGGCCTAGCTAAATTTCAATAAGATGCCCTAAACTTGTTCGATGAAATTCATATGTATTTTTATTCATACTAGTTCATTCTTCTAGCTTTTTAGGTGCAAAATGAAATTGTAATGGCATTGTATAGTCGTTTTCAAAATAATAGCTGAAAATATATTTTTTGTATATTTACAATTCATTTTTATTGATTATCAAACAAATCGTCTTAAACATGAACAAATTGAATCGACCCGGAGGAGGAAAAACCAAAAACAAAGGGAAGATAAATATACTAATTAATTAGTGAAAGATAAAAACTTATTAGTATTTGTTTACCCTAAAAACGGATAACAATTGAATTTATACGTGGTCTTAAGGATACGTGAAATTGACTGCAAAAGAAATAAGTGCAAACCGAACGAATTAGATAGTCTTAGCCCTCGAGTTCGATCACCCTTGAACCAAGTGAAGTTTCAACTGATATAAGAACAGAGTAACAATATAATGAAAACTAGAAAAAGGCAGTGTATTGCTTTGTATTGCGTCAATGTGAAGTGTCTTACAAATGATCAGACCCCCTTTATATAGTAGGGGAGTCCTACTCTTGATACAATTCTAAATACACTAAGAAATCTCATGATTGGCTAATTAATCGGCCTCTTCTTGATACGTGCCGGGATTTTCACTGTGACCTTCACCCGATTGTGGATATTTTGGCTTTTCGGTATTTGGCACGGTAAGCTTCCCTCGATCGTGCTCGGTCTCGATTTTGGCCGATCTCGATCTTGGTCGGTCTCTGGGTCACGAGCTCGATAATCTAAATTTGCACCATGGTTCGATATAACACGAGGTTGAATCTTGGCCTATCATGTTCCAATCTCGATTAGTCATACGAGGGGGCAAGTCCGGTTTTGACCGTATACAGATAGTCCCCTCATTTTTCGGAAAGAAGATGACGAGAAACGATATAAATTTCCGAGCTCTGTCTCGATGGGCAATGACGTAAGCGATGAACGTCACTGATACACCCGATCATGACGTAAGCAACAACTCGAAATGTCCTGTCAGTCCAGTTACCAAGGCATTAAATGTCTGTCAGTTGCTGGTCGGCCACCACGAGTTCTAAACCGTCACCGGCAAGCTATAAGTACTATAACCTCCCTCTCTTCAGACTTTACGTTTAAAGCTTCTCCATTCTCGCTCCTCTTTAAAAATCTCTTTGCTTTGCACTTCTGGCATCCAAATTTCTTGAACTTTTAGCAATCCGCATACTATCCTAATTCTTTTTTCTTCTATAATGGCGAAAACTTCAAAGACTGTACCACAAAAGGAGGCCGTCTCTTCATAGCGGCCCGCCGGTGATGGAGCTGCAGCAGAATACCCCCTTGAGGATTTTGTTCCGGGAGGGTGCCCCACTATTACTGATTTTAAGGTTAAAAAAACCTCCTCGGTACCGGGTTGATGTGAACCGGTCTTGAGGTATATATGCACAATTACCGATGACCTCCTTGCCAAGGTTAAAGAGGATTGCAACTGGGTCGGTAAGCATGTGGTGGTACCTTCGCCTGAGGAATTGATCACTACCCGCATGGAGGGTTTCCTAAGTGTTTACACTTACACCTTTACGTTGGGTCCCTTAGACCCTGTCATCGTTACCTTATGCAAGAGGTAGGATGTGACTCTTGGCCAGATCCATCCTTCCTTATGGAAAATAGTGATTCTCCTCTGATTCTTCGTAAGCAAAATCGAGGGATGTCCTTTCACCCTCAACCACCTTATGCGCCTTTACAGTCCCCGATTCTATCGACAGGGGGCTGATCAAGTTTGCTAGGCCAGCAAGACCCCGTTCTCGAGCATGGGCCGATTTGTCCGAATAAAGACTTCGGACCTGATCCCTGCTGAAGACATACTGTTTCCTGAGAAATGGAACATGAATCGTGAGTAGTACTTCGCCTTGAACGTTAAATTTTGTTGTCTTACTTCCTATCTTCTTTCCTCATCTATGTTTTGGTATTGCACCTGTGGCCCAGGTGCCGGGCATAGTTCCCTAGTGGCACTTGAATTTGATGTAGCCATCGACCAGGTCTTGGATAGATCTCAAGCGGGCTTGAACTGATTTATTCGGTCTTCAGCTGAACTCAAGCAATGGGTCGAGGGCCTGGTGTCATGGAGACCATCCTCCGAGCGTGCTTGGATGGAGTTATCAAAGGGTCGATGGGAGGCCGACAATCATAGTAAGTTTCTTTCTTAGAACGGTTATCGTCCGAGCTTCTTCTCGAGCTTACTCATATTTTTTCCTTTGTAGGCCTCGGGAAGGATTTTACAATGAGGCCCCTATTTGGTGGCTAAGAAGTCCTTCCCCAACCACCTGCCCCGAAGCAGGCCAAAGAGAAGAAGATGAAAGGGGCTCCAAGTTCCCCGGGCTCACAAAAGAAAAGACCGGCGAGAAGATCTCGCAAGCCCAGAGGGGATACCGGTGCTATGCCTTCGGACTCAATCCGCCGATTAACGGATGAGTCCGAAGAATAAGAGGAAGATAATTCCAAACTGGTGGCCCGCGTGTGGGCTAGTGTCACCATACAAGAAGTTCTCTAACCGGCGGGCGTTGAAGTTGAAACATCCCGACATGAGGAGGTCTGTGAGAGAGCTTTGGCTGAAGCTTCCCACCCAGAAAGGGTCGAGCCCATTCTGCCTCAAGCTAAGGGGGTCGAGAGAGAGAATAGGGGCGATGGTTCTCGAGCTGCGGAAAGTGCCCCAATAGACGAACTGGGAACGGTCGACATCGGAGGGTCCCCTCAGATTTCTGATGCCATGATCCGTGAAGCCAATATGTTGAGTCCTCAGAGGGTGACTGATATCCATAACTTCTTGGATGGGGTTGAGTCCGCTGCTTTGGAAGATGTCACCGGGCTTGGTGACCTACCGGTACCAAGGAAGGAACCGTCTTCGGGTGTCACCGGGTCTTCATCGGGCCCAAAACTGTTGGATCGATTCTTAGCCCCAAGTGTTAATCATGACCGAAGACGGTCAATAGCCTTTTCGATCCCGGAGGACGCCCGGGTTCTTTTTGCCCCCATGGGGGTCTCTAGTTACCTTTGGTGTTTGGTGACCGAAGAAGATCAGGCAGTGATGGACGAGGTGGAGACCCCATGCATATTCAATGAAACCCGACAAGCATTAAATTGGGTAAATTCACGTGTCTTTGCTTCTTATATATTCTAACTTTTAAAGTTGCAAATAACCATAACAGCTTCCCTTATGCTTGCAGGCTTCGGTGCTACATCACGAGGCTTTCCTCCGATATCGGGAGGAATTAACTCATCATGAAGCCGAGGTCCAGGACCTCACTGAGAAAAGTGACACCTACAAGCTTCTCAGTGAGAAGCTTTAGGCCGATTTAGTAATGGCTCGAGATGAGCATGACGAAATAGTCAAGCAGTTATTCTGAGTGCTTCATGGTAGTGAAGATGAATTAGAGATAGTGACTAACGATCCGATCCTGCAGGTCCGATAGAGGCTCGAACAGATCGGGGAGCTTCAGACACAAGCGGATACAATACAAGCCGAGGCTGAAGAATTCAAAAAGAACATGGACATCTTAGCCTCGAAAAAGGAAATCATCCAAGCACAACTGGAGTCGGCCGAGACCCAGCTCCAAGCTGTAAAAGAGAAGGCCTCAGTGCAGGTCGAGAAAATCAAGGAGCTTCAATCTCAGTTGGACCTGGCTATTTTCGATGAGGCAAACTTGGCCAATGAACTTGAAGTGGCCAGATCTAAGGTGGCCGTGGCCAACACCAAAGCTGATGCTAAAGTGTTCCAATTTAAGGTCGATGTTGAGGACATCCAGGCGAAGGCCAAGAGCATGGTGGATCATGAAAAATGGAAAACTCGAAAGGAAGCCCTCGAGGGAATTCATGCTCAGGGCTTCAATATTATGGACGAAATCGAGAATTCCAAAGCAGAGGAAGCCAGGGCCCGGAAGTTGGCCTTTCCTGAGGAAGACTCCGAGAGCTTAAGTGAATCCGAAGACGGAAAAGATCCCGAGGATGGAGATGCTATCTCCGATGAAGATCATGCCACTTAGGCTTTTATTTTTTTGCTTTCTTTTGCATATTCTTTTAGGCTGTTTTGGCCGTTGTAAATTTTTGTATTAGGCGGATCTGGCCTTTGTAAAAAAAAATTGTTATATATATATTTAAGGCTTTTCTTCACCTTTCGGCTCTTAAATATTTCCTTTAATTTATTACTTGTATTCACAAAGGTCGAAATGCCTTAGCATGAAACAATAAGGTTGTGCTCGAGGGTTCAAACAAATCTTACTTTTATTGCCTTTCTAGGTTAAGGCGTTGTTGGGGTTCGATGTTACCAAAGATTCTTCCCCAAAAATATCTTAAGTTTGTGACTTTGCCGAGGGCAGCCTTTAAAACCG